AATTAATTTATAATAAAATAATCAGTCTTTAATAAAATAAATATTATCTAGGTAATAATACAGTGGCGGTCCAAGGAAGGGGGAATGGGGAGGGGGGGGGGAATTTCTCCTCCCAAGAGCTGTACGACTTGGGTTCTATGCGACTCAACATTAAAGAAACCCATTCTAGAAGCTATATTTAAGAAAAGTTAATTCATACCTCCCTCAAGAATTATTTCTGGCTCCGCCCCTGAATAATAATAAAATTTAAAAAGCCTAAATGGGTTTGATTTAAATTATTAAAAACACTTAGTTGATTCTCTGTTTTAATAGCTTCATGTACTAAAAACAAAATTAAAGATTTGCAAAAGAAATATACACTGAAATTATTTACTCGTCGTGTTGGGCTATCAAATTTTTAAGTAAATGTTGTGCAGATAATACGGCCCCCGTGCCAAGGTGGCAAACAGACTGTGGGAAGAGGGACTAACACCTTGCAAAACACCAAAAAAATTTTAGGTGGGACGCAAACGTAAAGGTGGAGGTAAAAATTGACCTCCACCACTCCAGCCTTACCATAAAATACCTGTTTTACAAGGTCGCTCTCACTCTCACAATTTCTCCAAATTTTTCAAGCTAGAGCCCCATTATAACGGGATATAAAGATAATTATTATTATCTGCACATTTATTGTATTTTTTCATTGTAACCATTTTAATACCGTCCAAGGTGTCATGTCAAATGAAACTGACTTTAAAAATTAACAAAAGCTTTCTAATGACTTAAGACAGTAATAAGCTTTTATATTTATGTTTTTTTTATATTTCCGATACAAATTTCACATTTTCTTCAAAATATAACTTCAATTACTTTAGTGTTTACCAGAAAACATTTTTTAAATATTTTTTTTTATAGTTTAACTGTAACAACTAAATTGATAGTCGATCATATTTTTTTTTAATATGATTAAGTAGATTTCTCTTGATTATCAGAATTTAACTTTAATAAGCTATCAAAACAGATAAAAATAAGTAAAAACGATTTAATTGAATTTAAAGCCAACAAAAATTATTCAACAACAGACGAAGAAAAATTCTTTTCCCTAATCACCTTCAATTCAATTTCACTAGAAAGGAACCAAGGAATAAAAATTAACTTTTTATACCGACACTACAGCTATATCACAAAGTGGCTAGTTGTAACAACATGGCATTCAACAGCGTTAAATGTGAATTTTTTTGTTCTTCATTTTTCGTGCTGATTGCACAAATATGTATACAATAATTTCAGTTAATTAAATAATTATGTTTATGTAGTACATTGCTTATGGTGCTACTGGGGTTTATAAATACTTTTTACTAGCTATGCATTCATCCACCCCTCGACACAAACACGACTGAATAATAAATTAATTTTTGAATTAAATTTTCTTACCGCTGCAGATAATCTTAAATTAATGAGAAAAAATTGCTGCTACTGTCACGCCTTCGGCGGGAATCGAACTCGCTTCCCTGTGCTTAGCGCACCGTAGCTCTACCACTAAGCTACGAGAGGTGACACCAGCAATAACGACGATACGTAATTAATAATCATCATTAACAATGACACATTTAAGAGAATTTTTGTAAAAAAAATAATTAATTGAATCTGAACCTACAAAACTTTTTCTTGTACTTATGAATTTCTTTAATAAAAAATTACTTTTATTAGGAACTTCATTATTCCCAACGATTTAAGTAAATAAATAAATATATTCGGTAAAATACACCTTGTCCAACCAAAGTGGATATGTAATCTCACCAGAAAACAAAAATTTTTAATATCAAGAAACTGAAACACCAAAAAAAAAAGACAGAACTGATTTTCTTCTTAGAATGTTGATGTTATCAGTCGTGCTTCTCTCATTCTAACTGTATCAATCACAATTTTTTTAAAGGACTTGTATACCAAACCCAACCCAAAAGAACACTCAAACGTACATACATACATAATATGTACAACATAAACGAAAATGTTTTAGCTACATATATAACAACAGTAGGTAATTAACCATTACTAGATATTAAATTTTGACTAGTCACATAACAAGTTGCATTTTTGGCAACGTAGCACTGGCTATTGAAGCAAACCATTCTTCAAAATCAACCCCATCGCTTTTCTGTTGAGTTTTTTTTTTTTTACTCTCCTTCTTTTACTCGTTCTGAACACTTACAGTAAACAACTATCTCTTTATCTGAGTTAATTCAATCAATTAAAAAGCTCAGAACTCTTCCTATCACGAAACAAATCTGAGCTTGCTAACTGTTATTTTGAGTTTCTGATGATGATGATGATGAAGAAGAAGATGAAGGTGGAGTTTTTGGTGAGTCGGACTTTGAGCTTTTGTTAGCATTACTTGCCTCGACCACCAGCAAAGAAGACAAAGCTTCCAATGATTGCCTTACCTAAAAATAAAAAATATACATGCTGCAGTAATATACGAACGACGCCACCTACGTTTCGGCGACTTTACTTTACTATATATACCAAAAAAAAAAAAAAATAATCTTATTACTTTTGCTAACTGATCCAAATTGGAGTCCAAAAAATTATGAACAGCACCAGCTGATTTTGAATGTAACTGTGCCTGCCATTGCAGTAACTCACTATAAACGTCTTTGCCTTCAGAAACTATAAAGTTTTCCTGAAAAGTATACAGATACTAAACGAAGTTGAAAGTGTGGAAATCTACGATTATTTGAAGCGTTCGAAAAATGTGGTGTTACAGGCGAATGATGAGGATACCGTGGATAGAGAAGGTTAGAAATGAAGAGGTATTACAAAGAATAGGAGAACAGGGGACTCTATGGAAGTCAATAAGAAATAGGCGAGATGGGTTGGTAGGACACCTTCTCAGGCATAAAGGTAGTCGGGGACATATTAGAGACAGAAACAGGAGTTAGGAGGAGTAGAGGTAGACCTAGGTTAGATTACTGTTCACAAGTAGCTAAGGATGTGGGTTGTTCTAGTTTTAGGGAAATGCAAAGCTTAGTTCAGGATAGGAAAGAGCGGAGGTGCGTGCCCAACCAGTTTTAGGACTGACAACTTTATGATGGTAATGAAAAAAAGCTATTTTAAACAAAGCTAATTAGAATAATGATTAATTTACTAATAAGAAAATCAATCGACAAAGAAAAAACTCATAAAAATGATACATGGGACAGAGTGACTGACCGCAAGGAACTCAAGGACTTACCTGTAATGCTAAATTATATTTATTTTGAACTTTTCCTATCCTATACAACAGTACACTGGCCGAAAGAAAGAGAATTAACAACAAGAAAGTGCTGATACATAACAAAAGCGTGTGAGTAGGTATCCTGTACATGAAAAATGAAGTATATGATCCAGATCTTTTACCATCGGCACCTGCAATTAAAAATGTTATAAACAAATGAGGTTTTCTCTATTGTTACCGACACAAAAGAAAAACGTATTGTTCGGAGTAGGTTTCATTGCAAAAGTGCTTTTTAAATATCGACTCTACAATTTCACGTTAATTGTTTGACGTCATCGAAATGCAAATCAAAAGATTCCATAAAAAAGACAAGAAAATAGTGCAAATTTTATTCCACTTGAGGCAGCCAGTGTGTGCTGAAATATGTATATTTTTGTCACTTGTTTTCTGTTTGTTTATCTTAATTTCTACATTCATCGTTCCCAAAAGCGGTTGCTTTGACTTTTTACGGCGACGACTGACACATGAAATACCGATCCACGCTCCACGCACCGTGTAACACAGCCTTCACATGGGCTTGAAGCCTCTATTACACGGCGCGTGGATTGTCAATCTACGCTCAGTGTAAAGGGGTCGAAGCAGCCTGAAGCGCTAAGCAACCGATAATGCTCGAGAATGAACCCACCAGGACGTTCCTTCACGCTCCAAGTTGCGTCGACCCCGTTGCACGCAGTGTGCATTAGCAATAATGGGTTGAATATAAGCAAATACGCCGCGCGTGGATTACCGCTCCACGCGTCGTGTAACATGGTTTTCATATTGGCTGAACATGACCTTGAAACATCTGCTACACAAGGCGAGGGTTGCCAATCCACGCCCCGTGTAAAGTTGTCGGCGCAGCCTGAAGCGCTATGGAACCGACGATGCTCGGAAAATAATGCGCTAGGACGTCTCTTCACGCTCTAAGTTGCGCCGATCTCGTTACACGGAGCGTGGAGTAATAATGGGTTGAGTACAGGCACATACGCCTCGCGTGGATTGCCGCTCCTCGCGTCGTGTAATATAGCCTTTAAAGGTGTTTCTCTTCGACTTTAGATTTACGAAATCTTATCTGACTAATTATTAATTAAAGACACAAAAAGATATGACTTACTCTCGCTTTTTAGTAGCTTAGCAGGAGTCAAAGGCGGAATCTTCTTTATCCGAGTGCTATTCCCCATCGTTTCGAACGTTGTCGTAGTACCGGAATCAGCAATGCCAGATTCGTTCCCACTTTCGCTACTTTTGCTACTATCACTGCACTCGGAAGGAACAGCCGCAGCCTAGAAGGTAATAAAAAAAAGAATTATGACTCGCGGCGCAAATTGCTGCGACGGAGTTGGCATTAAATGAGAAACTGAGCAAACTGTGTGTTACTTTTATCTTAATAGTACCTATCAAACAAAAAGATAAAATGTACAACAATTATTTCTAGTACTGAGTAAAATTAACAATTCTCAGATAAGATTCAAGTTCATTGCAATAATGTATATGTATGTAAACGTTGCAGTGTTACGTTATCGAAACATGTGATAAGCAAGTACATGTGCACTTTGCATTCAAATTACATAACCACCATCGATATATGGCAGTAACCGATATTTGTTAATAACTTCAAACATTTTACGTTCAAATCTAAATTGGTATTTTTAAAAGTGATGTAAAGGGTTATACCCGATTAGCATGTTTTAATACTCAATCAGCGTCATAGGTGAAATGCAGGGCTCTGATTGATTTTAATAGCATTCTTTCCCTGGTGTAATGGATATTCTTGTCATCATCATAAACTCACAGTAGGAGAAGAGAAAACTCGGTGGAAGAAGACAACACTAAACTAAATATGCTTTGCTTCTTCATGAGGGTTGTTTTCTCCTACCATAACCTTAGGGGATGCTATTGAACCAACCAGGACGTTGCGTTTCAGTGATGGTACCGAAATGTATGTCGGAATTAAGACATGCAGCCCCATGTTACCCCACACTAGACAAAACGACTAGCAGGTGCAGATATCATAGTAGGACACCTTCTGGAGCATAAAGTGGGGGAAGAGGAAGTTCTAGAATTAATGACTGTTCACAAATAGTTAGAAATCTAATTTTAGGGAAATGCGAAAAGTGGCTTAGGATAAGAAGAAGTGTCCAGCCGATCCTTGTGGTGATGATAACTGTGATAATTCCAATACCATAGTAAAAAAGAAATCACATTTACAAATAAATTACGAAAAGTTTAATATTGTGTAATGTTAAACAATTACTTAAATGCGTACGTTCGAAACAAAAATTTAATGGCGGCATATTTAAAATAATCGACTTACCATTGCAAAAAACAGCAACTGATTGATTGCAGTTGCCAATTTGAGGTTGCAAGTTTTGTTGCCGGGTCCACGTGTACTAACTAATTTGTGTCAATTTACGAGAGCATACACCAATACAAACCCATTCTATTATTAACGTATTGTTAAACAACAACATTTATATGAACTGCCAGTAAGTAAATGCTGAATTGAACTGAACAATAATCTCATTTAATGCGAGTATTTGAACAATCGCAACATACAGCATCAACAGTATATGTGTACACGGTAGCTTACAAAGAGAAACAGAGAAAAGGGAATATTTTTATGGGTCATTTCAAATATGTAAACAACTATTTAATTATAACGAATGAGCTCATGTATTTTTTTAAAAATAAATCTTTTTATGAAGTTTTTATCGTTAAGCGTAAATAGTGAATAAGGTTTACAAGAAATTACTGTTTATAAAAAACATCTAGTAACATTATTCAGAGACTGCATGTGAACCAATTATTCAACGACATACTATACGTATTGTATATTCTGTTCTCTACCCTGGGCCACTTTCACTCAATGCGATAACGACACGATTTACTGCATCCAGTACTGCTTTAAAATTAATCGTTTACGTGTTAGATAACCGATAAAACAAATAAAACGATAAAAAACTTTTTTGCAAAAATAAGGCTCTATACTGTGTATTATTATCGGTGTCTCTACATGTACCTAAAACGTGAAATAAACGCAGCATTGAAACTCAAAATTAAAATCAAATTATTTAACTGGCTACCTACATACGTATGTTACGTATAATAATCTACAATTTTATTGGTTTCCCGTTTTATGATGTTCTTCTATTATACGCTAAGCTTTATCAACTTCTTACCAAAACTATTTATAATTCCCTTAACCAACGAGTTCACATTGGAAGCAGAGCACAACTCAATTTTGAAACATTTTCAACTGACTAACGTGAATAAAAATAAAATGGTATATTTCAAAACAGGCTTCAAGAATCTTATTTATACATGACCAACGCGCAATATTTATCTGCAGTAAGTAGTTCTATTTTTAAATTTGAATTCCAAAATGATTCGTCTGTAATAACGGCAAAAGCTGTAAGAAACCTACATTTTCACGCGATATTAAATTAAACAAAAGTAACTTTCCTTGCAATTAAGTTAGTATCTATTTATAATTTTTATCTATAAGAAATGTCTTATAAAGAATCTCGAAAAGAATTGAATGCATGGAACTGTAAATGCTTCCAAAGGAAAACTGGTGTGATGGACAGACTGACGAATAGAACACACGAATGAAAGTTTTAGATGTACGACGGGGGACCCTTCTTTAGTGAAAAAAAATTTTCCATTTCGCAAAAAACATTACGGCCGACTGTTGGGAGCAACGCACGCCTGTGAAATTTTGTTTCCTGTTGGGGAAATCGGATGTTGAAACTATTGTAATGCCTAACACTGCTTACAGGAATGCTGCCCTAGGTAAAACCAGAGTCTAGGAGTGGTTTTCACCTTTGAAAAATGAAGAAATATTTTAACGTCAAAAAAGTGACGAAGATGTCGACAAAATCAATGCTCCCGTTCGTGAAGACCGTCGTCGAACCATTGATCAACTCTGTGAGATGTCTGGAATATAATGAAGTTCAATTCAGAGAATTTTATCCGAAAGAGAGCGTCAATTTCAGGCATGTTTTGAGCTTCAAAATCAACTCAAAAAGGACCCTAAATTTTTTTGCAAGGCGATTACTGGTGACGAATCGTGGTGTTATGACACTGTGGAGGACGTAAAACAAAAATCATTGAAAGGCCTAAAGAACTTCTCTATAAAACAAAAATCACTGAAAGGCCTAAAGAACTCCTCTATAAGCGAATTTAAAAAATGTTTTGAACAATGGAGGGGTTCCTTTGCAGAAGTGCCTTGTGGTCAAGGGTTCGTCGGTGAAGGTGATCAAAATTTGGCGTAAAAATATTAAGAAATAAAGAAGTTATAACGAAATTCCCGTTCTTTTTTTGAGTAAACATAAAATAAAATTTATTAAAAGTCATTAAAATAAACTTGTCTCTTACCCTTTCACGCCTGGTAAGATATCTCTTCCTTCTAATTTTAATCATAGTACCGACTAACACTGGACGTCACTTAATTTATTTCAAGTAGTGCGTGTTCACAATACGAAGCTAAACGCGAAAATAATTAGCAACTGCTTTACACATACGCTACATTTCAATTGATTTTAAGAAAAAGGCGATAAACAGAAATATTTACGTTACTTAGTCATTGAAGATACAATACTACTAATTATACAGCAAAATTCCCGAAAGAAAAATGGAATTTTATTGACAGTTGCTTTACGTCATTATTTCACAAACAAATACGTCTCACGAAGACCGAGAAAAACAATTGACAGATATCAACACCTACTCAATAAGCAACCCATATACTTTATGCATTCCTATATTTAATAACATCCTAAAATAGAATAATTCACAGAAATAATAGTAACTAGTTGAACCCATTCAAAACTAGTCGGAATGATACCGCACCTACGGTGCATAGAACCCATATTTTAATCATTGCGATCGCCCATACGAGGGTGGATTGATAAGTTTCCGGCCTAACCAAGAGATGACGCCACTAGGCCTACCTTGAGGTGACATTCTATAGTACCATCCTTGGATAGCTTGTAGCTATAGTTTCAGCCCGATCTCCTTGCTAG